CAAAAAACTCAACAAAACTTCCAGAATTGAATGGGTGTCCTGCGTTGGTGACTAGAACGTCAGGTAATCCATATCTTGCAAAAATACTTATTAAAAACCTTAGTAACCGTTCTACAGTGCGTGGTAGTCTTCATATTCTCAAATTCGATTCATTTTGAAAAACTGTCTACAACGACTAAAACGCCTTTTTTCTTTAAATAATAATTAAAAAAAATCAGCATGCAATCTGCTAAAAGGCTTACTTGTTGGTGTCCACGGTACGTAATTAGGTTTCTTTTGTTGGACAAACCTAACCACGGCAGACAAGTTACGCAGCGGATTCACTGCCGACCAAGGAACCAGAGAATCGACTGAGAAAGTTTTCGGTAGCCTCGTAATAAAGTGGCAAAGACGAGCGATACATTTAAACTAAAGCCCTACAGTAAAAGTATGGAAGTCTGTCAAAAGTTGTTCCAATCGAACCGTCAAAATGCACCGCTTTGCTCGATTGGAACAGCTTTTTTTCAGTTTTGTGGTGACAGTCGTCCATACTTTTACTGTAGGGCTTTAGTTTTAACTGCTTTTATTTACAAATGAATAAAGTGGAATGGATAGTATTTATATTATTCTCCCCTCTCTCTCGTTACCGTTCATAGATATGGGGACAGATGTCGCACTTCCGACACTCCTCCTCGACATCTTCAACGGTCGGTGTTTGCTGTCTAACCTAGCATCGTTGAAAATTGCTGTTGCTTTATAGTACGTTCAGACTACAGAGTTATAACAACAATCAATACGAAACTAACGATTTTAAATTGGCTCACGACTTTAGTAGCCTATTGGTCCCAAGCAAACGATTAACGTACCCTATTCTAGTTGAAATTCTATTATTACACTATGTTTGTTTTGATTCGCTATGAAAGTTTGACAGATAACATCAGGGGTGTGTGGATTCATGCAGAACATGCAGGGGTGAGTGAAATAGCTTGGGACTGCTTGGGACCGTTGTTCTGGTACTGAGTGAGCCAAAAATAATAATGATTTTCTTCGGGACCCAGTGGTCTTAGAGTTACCTCTATGGTTATAACATGTTATAGCGCTATCTTGATGGTCGTTTCTGTGTTGCAATTATTTGACAACCGTTATAACATGTTATAACTCTCCAGTCTGGACAGCGTTTTAGATGTCCTAGGGGTTTGGTGAGGATATCGCCCGCATAAACGCGAACCATAAATTGACCTTACCTAAAAAGGTTAAAAATTGTTTATAATTCCTGCTAAACTTTAACTGGTTATGGAACTTTACATGAACGTTTAATGATAAAGTTTCAACCTTATGTATTATGGTTTTTTGGAACTGGACCTTACAAATAATGGGTTGTTAAGAACCATTACCGTTCCAAATTCTTGTTTTCTCCATACATTTTCGGAAAGAGAACTATATTAGAACCTTTTAACTTATGGTTTGAGAACTTTAATGGTAATGGTTATGGTAGTCAGTAAGGTCCACGAATGGTTTTGTAACATCGATCAACTTTATGTGGAATATATCGCGAATTGGTTGCCTGTAATTTACTGATTACCAATTCACGATATATTCCACGTAAAGTTGAGCGATAATACAAAACCATTAATGGACCTTACTGACTACCATAACCATTACCATTAATGTTCTCAAATCATAAGTAAAAACGTTCTTATATAGTTCTCTTTCTGAAAATGTATGGAGAAAAGAAGAATTTGGAATGGTAATGGTTCTTAACAACCCATTATTTGTAAGGTCCAGTTCCAAAAAACCATAATACATAAGGTTGAAACTTTATCATTAAACGTTCATGTAAAGTTCCATAACCATTTCAGTTAAAGTTTAGCAGGGATTATAAACAATTTTTAACCATTTTAGGTAAGGTCAATTTATGGTTCGCGTTTATGCGGGCGGCGATCATAGATTCTGCAGGGCAATACTGAATGGCCACCAAACCTTTCTCCGACAAATCTTTAGCGAAATACCGACATCTGCACCTTCCGCTAAGTTCAAACTACAAAGTTTTTTTTTAACAAGGACACACGCGAAGTCATAAATGTTTTCTCGTGGTACGTCTTTAAATGATTCCAGACATCCTTAGCACTTGATGCATTTTTCACTAAATTTAATTGACTGTCTTCAACGTACAGCGCAATCGTAGCATGACACTTCTGGTCACTCTTTGTCCACGCAGCCGTCAGTGGATTAGGAGATGTGTCGATTATCACATGCCAAAGTTCTTCTCTCTTCAGCAACATTTCCATTCGGGTCTTCCACACCGAATAATTCTGGTTGCTCAGACGGGGAAACATATATTTCTCTGCCATATTATGTTACTATTCGCACCACGAAACGGTACAACACGGCACTACAGTAGAACCACAACGGCCGATATGGAAAATGATAGGTGGGAAGGAACTCACGGTCTCCCAGTGTTGGTGAGTTCTTTGCCGTTGATGTTCACGAAAAGTTCACTATTTTGCCATACAGAAATTCAAAACAAAAAGTTTTTTTGGGCGGATTTGGACGGTTTTTGACCTGTTTCATATGACCGGAAGGTGTACGCTGGTCACAAATGCCGTGCCAAACTGATTTCCTACACAATTAATCAATCTTTGACATGAATTTCGCTAATAAACACGAGGAGCATTTCTTATAGCAAACTTGCCATAACAAAATGGGCATGGTTCATTTTAGTAAACAAACTAACACTTCTTCCGACTGTGTCACCTCTCTTACTCGCCTAGCTCTCGGTGAGTGACCAAAAGTAAAGAGGCTGAATTTATAAAGAAACCCCTAATAAAAATAACCATGACAGAGAGCTTAACAACGTGTTCGGGGTATCATCCGAACCATTTGTGGGATAGTTTATCCATCCGGGATATAGTTCGTTTATGGTATTTGTTTATTAGGGACGTCATGTCAAAATTGGAACAATCGATTGTCTGTCAAAGTTATAGGAGAAGTCATTCCAATCGAGCAGAAGACCTGTCAAATGGATAAGATGTCGCCGCTTCATATATTCAGGCTCTTTAACCAAAAGCATTACGCACACCAGCATGTGATCACACTGAACTAATGCGAGACTCTTCAACACAATAGCCGCAACGCCACCACGACGAGGCACAAACAGCCTACCGACGTCGCCCGTATGAAATTGCCCACGTTTCAAAATTCACTTTCTCGATTATTGCCACTATTCTGGGCCCATAGCCTGTTGGACAAACCTAACATCGGCAGACAAGTTACGCAGCGGAATCACTACCGACCAAGGAACCAGATAATCGACTGGGAAACTTTTCGATAACCGCGTAATAAAGTGGCAAAGACGAGCGATACATTTTAACTGCTTTTATTTACGTTACCGTTCATAGATATGGGGACAGATGTCGATCTTACAGGTCTTAAAATATTTCTCAATGTCCTGATAATTCCAAACCAGTACACCGTTCGTATTGCTAGTTGCTTCATCTTTTTTATGTCCGAATGACTAACGTGAAGCATTTTCACTATTTTTTTGGTTTTCATAATTATTCGATCCTGAAATAGAACATCGACCTCTTCCAAATCTCTTAAGCTTTTAGATCGTGAATAGGTAATAGATTTTAATGAGATATCTTAGACATGACATAAATTGGGATACATATAAGCCTATTTTGCGCGGCGTGTGAGGTGAGGTGACAGTGAAGTGATGATGAAGTGACAATTGTCACCTAGTGTGAGGTGACAATTGTCACTGTTGGGGTGGAGTCCTTGGGGAGTTGGTTCCTTTGTGGACTGTATAATTTAGGTGGTGCTCCACTCCTCCAACACGATGGTGGTATTGATAGGAACGGTTGATGTAGGGAAAATACTGCACTCCCGCAGTGTTAATGCTGATATTCAGGACCAATCACTTTCTCCTTAGACATTAAACACATAGGCAACGGTAATTATTCACTAACTGTATTTAAAAATAAAGCCACTACATATATTTACATTAAATTACATATATCACAAGTAACAAAGAACACGTTAAAATTCTGCACGGTAGCCTATCCATCTTCCTTGGAGGTCTACCCGGCACTAATTATCCAATTAATTGCCTGATCGTCGCTCTTTGGATGCTGGGATGACTGAGAGCGAGAGAACCTTGTTTCTCCCATCGCTCCGGTTGTCGATCGATGGTGATCGATGATCGGTGATCCTCTCCTGTCCTGTGATGTGTGACTGCACTTCCGTGCTCCATGTATGGGTATGTCCGAAGAACGATGCCCAAAATTCACCTCGTAAGCATCTCATGGTACAACGAGGTGAAATATTCTTCGGTCGTGTTTATTCAATTTGGACTGGGCTACTCTCGAAGCTCTCGAACAGTCACTTCACCATCACTTCACTGTCACCTTACCTCACACGCCGCGCAGAATAGGCCTGAGAGAAAAAAAAAATCAAAAGTACGAACATGGATTTTTTTAAAAGATCTCGTAGTTTGAAATGTTTTAAATCAGGCCTGCCCAACCTTTCTAATCTTGCTTTTTTAAATGGCTGTATATTTGTTCGATGAACATATTCCAAGCTGCATTCTATTTATTTCCCATGTCACTAGAGTTTTATCATTGCTGCGATCCACGGCCGATCCGCGGGATGCGCGTTGGGCAGCGCTGCTTTAAATGTTGTGGTACCGTAAACCGGAGGAAAAAGAAAAATTGATCACTACTAAACGTTCATATTCACCCCTATTCTGTATTTCGTTCCAAAAAGAAAATTGACCAACTAATGGAATTAAAACCAATTAAACTCTTTTGATTTATATGACTTTAAAGAAATTTTAAATATCTCAAATTTGAAATTGTTGATATGTGTGTCATCCTTTATTGATGTAGACAATTTCTTTATAAATCGTTAGAAGTTTTACGAAAATACTTAATGTTCTTGAAATTGTAAACTATTGTTTTGTAAAAATTTATATAGTTCCAATTCAGGCAGGTTTGTGAGTCTACATTCTCTTGTACAGATGTGTAGGGTGATTATAATCTAAACTAATCCAAAGTTTTTCGTTTCAATCACCAATAGCAGCTTGTGTCGGAGAACGGCCTTGCTCAAGTAGAGCGGGATGTATAGCCGGGAGATGCAAGTGTTTGCAGTCGGGAGATGGGCATCGTCCGCCGGTCGGATCGTAACCAATGGCATCAGTTGGAAACCATGCTCAGAGGCTGGCAGGGCTGGCGATCCTGTCCAGAAGTTGACCTGTGTGTGGGGGAGTAGAACGTTTTTTTTTATTAGAATTTGAGATTTGGAAGCCGGAAGAAAGGCATAATAGGCAAATGCTCGCTAGGAGATGCCTGCAGTAGATGTCTCGAATCAAAACCTACCAAATCCTGTCGCTCCACGTTGCTTATCTTCTCCACTAAACTTCAGAGCCATCGTTTAAATTTCAGCAAATTGTTGCTGCTTTTGATCGATTCATTATTGAACGAAGTGTATCAGATCAGTGTATCAACGTGGATGTCTCCGACGCCATTCAACAGTAGTCTCAAGTCTTCCGCCGTCAGTTGATCCAGTGCTGTGTCCGGTAACACTTCTAACACTCCCGAGCGTATGGTCTTTGAGAGAAAAAAAACTATACATAAAGTAAATCGAATAAGATTCTTACCCCGCATCAGGAAGATACTTACATCCAAAGCCTTCTCTTGCGTCTTGATCATACGATACTCGGCATATTTCCGCACGTAATCGAACACGTTGATTTCACAAAGTTCAGCTCCAGACTCTGTAGAATGCTAATTTCACTCTTGGTGTGCGAATCCTTGATCAGTTGTCGCAGTGAATCGTACACAACTGGATCGAAAAAAGGCCAAATCGTGGAAGCGAATATACCGGCCGAGGATTTACTTGAGCACGTGCCATTGCAGGAACAACAGGAACAGTTCATTTTGCAGCAAACACAGCCAGTTGCATTCTATTTATTTCCCATGTCACTAGAGTTTTATCATTGCTGCGATCCACGTCCGATCCGCGGGATGCGCGTTGGGCAGCGCTGCTTTAAATGTTGTGGTACCGTAAACCGGAGGAAAAAGAAAAATTGATCACTACTAAACGTTCATATTCACCCCTATTCTGTATTTCGTCCCGAGCGTATGGTCTTTGAGAGAAAAAAAACTATACATAAAGTAAATCGAATAAGATTCTTACCCCGCATCAGGAAGATACTTACATCCAAAGCCTTCTCTTGCGTCTTGATCATACGATACTCGGCATATTTCCGCACGTAATCGAACACGTTGATTTCACAAAGTTCAGCTCCAGACTCTGTAGAATGCTAATTTCACTCTTGGTGTGCGAATCCTTGATCAGTTGTCGCAGTGAATCGTACACAACTGGATCGAAAAAAGGCCAAATCGTGGAAGCGAATATACCGGCCGAGGATTTACTTGAGCACGTGCCATTGCAGGAACAACAGGAACAGTTCATTTTGCAGCAAACACAGCCAGTTGTCTCCTCTTCTTCTTAGATCAATCTGTGAATGAGATAGTTTCCAAAGCAAATCAGTTACCCTCTCTATACCGCAATCTACAACAGAGCTACCATACCTGCCGACATTACTGAATGCATTCAGTGGCTCGTTCAAGGGGTAACCTTGCCATGGACTGTAGAAGCCGCGCTTTCCGGATGAGCAAAATTAGTGGATCATCCAGTTGACAGTCTTCCAGGATCAGCACCAGGTCGCTCTTTTTCGACAAACCGGAAGTCTGTCCCTGCGAGTAGATAAAACTGCTACTGACTCGCTGATCCACCGCACTGCTGCCAGTTTACACCGAAGAGGAAGATCCACCGGGACCTCCCACGCTTAGATTATCGGTTTGCAGCAGCTGTCGGCTGAGGATAATCTCCAGTGCTTCGTTGGCTTTCTGTCGAAGTTATCTCTAGTCTTAAACTCGGACGTTGATTTTGAGCTGAATTCCTGTTGATGTTGACTCTTGAAAAAAAAATGACGGTTCAGTGAAGAAAAAATAAGGCATGCCTACTTTGATCAAAACATCCGATTTTAACGATTTACCCCCCCACGCGCACCGACATCGAGTCGCTACCATAGCAACACCATGTTAACATAATTTTCACCCTCCAAGAGCCTATATAAGTAACGCTGCTCCTAACAACCTTTAAGAGGCTTGTGAGGTAGTTTCTTTGTCGGACGTGTTTGCAATTGCTCTCCAACCTAATCTTCCAAACGCCACCAGTCCAGAATGTTTGCAAAAAAGGTGACAAATGGCCGTGATGCTGGTCAGACCCGATCCGGCAAGAATGTTAAACCGATTATTTTGCCGGGTTTTATGCGGTCCGACCCTGATGGACAGCTTGCGACTATGTATCGGCGCATTAAGACGGCTTCTTCAAAGCCCAAGCTGTCATCAGGGCCGGACCGTCATGAACGGGCCAAAACACAACCGGCGACCGGTGAGTATGATCACATAAGGTCGCCGGTTGGTGACTACATTCGGCGGCCGTTTGTTCCGACGGCAAGCAAACAGCTGGGTGGTGAGGGATTTTGGAAGCATGTTGAACCGGTGCCAAAACACAGCCTTGAAACTACTCAGCATGCCTCAACCACGGATAAAGATAAGGTAAATTTAGATGATGAATTTGAAGAAGTAGATAATAATTTTAATATGGAATTAGAAGATAGGGTAGATTTTGATAAAGAACCGCAAATTTTTTGTAAGGGTTTTAGGTGTACCAAAGCTGAATTAGATTCGGTTTTGACAACAGGAATTGCCGAGGTACAGCGTTGCAAGACAACGTCAGCAGTTTTTGAAACATACGCCAAAACATTTCATGATCTTTTGGAACTTTCGGCGTATGCAGCGAGAACTTCTGACTCTTGTACGCAGACTGCAACTCCCAAATTGCAGCGTTCGCAAACAAATCTTGTGTACGCTGGATTTTGGGAAAGCTGTACCCGTCGTCAACATTGTAGTATGCAAACCGAGGAACCAAATTTGACGTTTTCGAAGCAGCCTACTGCGATGCTTCTCCAAAATTCCAGTGACCCAAACCCAAATTGGGTAAATAAGTTGTTTGACTGGAAATCTTTTATCTCGACCTTTTTGGTTTCGGCCGTGTTCCTCGGATTGATGGAAATTCCAAATTTGTTCTAGCAGTTTGGCTTAGATTTTGTGTGATTAGATCGAGCTCACTGGTGTGTGGTCCAACGAATTTCATCGAAATTATTAAGCTTCTCCGAGGTATTCTGAAGAGTATAGGTGTTGTAGCCGGGTACAAGCGAATACTTTGAGCTACCATCTTTGCTCCGACGATTCCTCGGAACCCATTGACACCGGATAGGGACCTTTTGGTGAACAAAATTCGTTTAGGGACCGTGCTTGGATGGCCCATACCAATTCTACCCTATTGGGAGTGCCTTCCAAGCAAACCAATCGATGTGGCAGAATGCTTTCATCGAAGATCTTGTTAGCTTATGAAGTTCGAAGGACCACTTCTGTGAGCTCGATCGTTGCATTCCAGGATACAAGTGTTAGGAGATAACAGTTAGTTAGTTAGATTACAGATTGTAGTTAATTAGCCAGAAAAAATTTAATTAGATTGATAGGAGATAGGGCAGGAGCACATATGTGATTGGCAGGGAATGTGGTGGGAGTTTAAAGGTATTGAAAAGTTACCCCTTTTTATGATTTCGATCGAAATGGGTTGTAATAATCGGTTTTGATCGAAATTAGGAATAGAGGTGACTTTTTAGTACATTTAACGGGGCTTCTCACATATGTGCTCCTTTTATCATGTTAGTTAGCTACTTCCAAATTTATCGTGGAATGGGCCACAATTATCAGCTTAACATTTTTCGCAATAGTTCGTTTTCGATTTTTTTTAATACAATGGGAGTATTTCCTTCATTGAGTGTTCATTACGTTGTTTTATTATTGATGATTTTAATGTTTGTTTATGTTTAATTTGATATTTCAATAAAGAAGGCAATATTCCCATTAGCAAAATTTTAAAAATAGAATGCAATATTTCCGTTTAGTTAGGAGCTAGGACAGGAGCACACATGTGATTGGCAGGGTATGTGGCGGGAGTTTAAGAGTACTGGATTCTTTGTTCAGTACTTTTAACGGGGCTTATCACATATCCAGAACAACATGTGAAAAGGGCATACAAGCTTTTTGTAAACAAACCTTCTTATGCCCTTTTCTCGCCACCCATATGACACCAACGCAAACCTTTAACATCACCGGGTAGGGGACACTTTCCCCTTCCCGATGATATTGCTGGTTTGCGTGGGCAACCCGCGGTTGGTGAGAAAAGGGCCTACAAAGGTTTGTTTACAAAAAGCTTGTATGCCCTTTTCACATGTTGTTCTGGATATGTGCTCCATTATTCTTGAAACACGGGATAGAGTTAATTTCAGGTCAGGGAAAGTTGGTAGTTTGAGTGAAACTTTATTTAATAGGAAAGAGCTAGAGCAGGGCCGAAACAAGAAGCAGGAAACGTAGTTTCGTCTTTGTCTTAAAATACATAAAATTGCAATTGCACAATTAAGGAAAAAAATCAAGTAAAAACATCCCAGCAATTTAGTGGTGTTCCTTGATTTAGTCTGTTTTGGATTAATTGTATAAGGCTTCATAAGATCCTGTTGACAAATGAATAGTTCAAATAGTATTACGTTACTAAAGCTAACCAAGACATCATTGTGGAATGCTCTTCGGCAGGGGAACTATGCCATTAGCGCGAAGCATTTTTAAACCACTGATGCTGGCGCCAACTAGTAATGTTTCTACTATTGGGTCATCACTTGATGCAATAGGATCAGATCCGCCGTTAGTGTGTCAGTTGTTGATCTCATTCGTTTTCTATTTGTCCCTGTCTTGTTGAGGTGGTTATTACAGCATCGTCATATTCACCACTGGTTTGCTATAATAGTGATTTGATATGACGATGACGGTCCGGAATGTCTATCGGTGAACCCGAAATGGAGCAATAAGAGGCATTTGTGGGAAATAGTGAGAATTTAGCTCACGGTAAGCCTTACCAGAACGAACTAAATGATCGACGGTAGGTAATGTGATAGACATAGTGGTGTTGGTATGTCTAGAGGTTTTATAAATCAACTACAGATAACTCTTAGGGGACATCCATATATTACATAGCATTTACGGGGGAGAGGGGGTCTCAGAAGTTGTGACCGGCAATGTACTAAGACTAACAAAATACGCTAAGAGGGAGGAGAGTGGGTATAAAATTGGCCTAACATATGTTATGTCATTTATGAATGGTCCCTTAGGTCTACTAAAGATATCATCTGAAATCTTATATGCCAACTACGGTGGACTTACCTCGGGTTGATCTCAGGCTTGACGGGATTTTAACTTAGTTTGTTGTAGGAACGTTTTTTTCCGTTCAATTGCAAATATTTCTTGGATCAATTCCGAATATATCCAGAGGCCTTCGGGTTAACTTCACAGTGCGCAGTGCAGGATTTGGGATGCGAGGTGTCCGGGGCTGCTATCCATTTTGTCTGCTTTTTAAGTTTGAATTTCAAACGCCCGAATCTTGATATGAAAGAAAAAGATATTTTAAAAAATCACAAGAAAATCACATGTGTGAGCTAGTAGTGGAGGGACTCATACATTTTATTCATTAAAAAATATCTAAATGGTATGCATATAATTTGTATACGTCAGTTTATAGCTTTCAATCTCTGTTTTACTAGACGGTGATAGATCTCGAGAGAAATCCTGCAGCAAAAAAGTGGATTTTTGAATACCCCTCCGCTCCTCCTTGTCACACACTTTTTCTGTAATTAAAACATGGTGGTTAACACATTTCCAGACTACCCCCACCTGCTCTTGCGTTACGAAATATTTGAATGGGCCCATTCAAAGCCCAATATTATAAAAATGTGGGTGGTTAGCTTTCATTTCCATTGAAATATTCATTTTGTACATAAACGAAAATGGGACTGACTTGCGATGAGCGGCAGTAGTCCTCCCGAGTAGACCTGCTCCAAAACTTGCATGGTCTAATGCTCAATTACAACACTTGAAGCGTGAGAGATCGAAAGCAAATACAGCCAGTCCCGGAATCCATTCACCAAGCGATTATTTTTGTTAGCAAGTAATTGCTACCGAATCTACACCGTTTTCTATACAAAAAGTACTCAAAACGTATGCAGACCAAACTACGGCGTAATACTAAACTATTCTGAACGTTTGTGAAGACAAAAAGGAAAGAAGATGGGCTACCCGTTGAGATTCATCTAAGCGATAAAAGAGCCAATAATTCTTTAGAAAAATGTAACCTCCATGAGCAATTGTGGAGAATTACCGAAGAATTACTTCACTTTGTGCCAGCTTGAAAGTATTCGAGATAATCTTTAACGATACTATATTTGCCAGCTGTAGAAACTACACGCGAGAAACACAGAAGTGAGTAAGTGTATAAGTTAAGTGAACTGCTTAGCAATTCGAGAAGCTGCTATATATAGAAGTGCGGGTAATTTTTGAAAAAGGCAAGAGAATTTCTAAGAAGATCAAACAATTTCGTAACAGTTTAGCAAACCTCTAAGAACTTCAGGGATCTTCAGTTCTGTATAGGGAACATCGTGCCTTTGCGGTATTGCAATACACTTTCTGGAAGTTGTGTGGTCTCCCTTGCCTTACGATTCTAGTGACGCCGTATGAACGCTGGCATGGAATTAAATCGAATCTAAGCCACGCTTACCCATTCGGTGTTGACGTTTTCTGCTAGATACCGGACGAAAAGCGGGGCAATCTGGAAGTGAAAGTGAAAAGGCTTATAGTTTATAGGCTATAGCGAGGTATCGAAGGCTGGAAGGATAACCAGGACATGAAAATCTTGAGCAGCATCAGCTCGATGAAAAACTGCAACGAAGTGGTAGTTCCTCAATCGACGAAGAATCCACCTTTGTCCGAGGTATACGATGAGGTCATCATGGATCCGGGTGAGAATTTCTTTGAAGAAGCTTTGCGAAGGGTTAGTTGCCTGTTGAAGCATATCGAGTCGATACTGCGATTCAACAGGAGCATACAACACTGAAGGTAGCGCTTTCTGACTCTGATGGCGACAAGAATGCTATGCTCGAAGAACTTCTGAAGCGTTTCTGAACGGTGATCTTAAGGATGAGATGTTTATGCGTTAGCCTCCGTTGTTCGTTGTGAAAGGTGCTGAAGCACACGTACACACTTTAAATAGAACCTACCTTATTATTTTTCTCTCGATCTATTTCCTGTAACATAAAAACGTGCGTTAGAATAAAACGAATAAACAAATAAATCGTAAAACCGTACCTCGCAATGTTTTTTATTCCATTCCGATTCTATTCTTTTGTCCGTGATTCGTAGATTCTTCCCATGCATCTCACTGAATATTTTTGAAATGAATGACAAAAATTCTGCTATTTTTTTTTCGAGTTTTCAGTGATTGCTGAGTTTTTTCTTCTTCAGTGATTTCTGATTGCTGCTATTTTTACAGAACGAGTGGCACGTGTTTGAGTGTTTGGAGTGCATTATCATCTCTCATTAGAATCGCGATTCTTGAAACTTTTCCTGCAACGTTCTTGAATTTGATAAAATGTCTTCAGTGGGAACAGGAATCAGTCTTACTTCCACTCACTTGCTATAAAAAATGATTTTCTGAATATTGAAATCATTAGATCTTAAAATGATATTTTGCCTTGTTAGATACAAGAAACGGTTGAAAGCCAAGTGTTTGATACATAAAACCTGTCAAATTCGCTTTCAGGTAGTCACACTCTGGAAGCAAAATCGACAGGTTATATTTGTCAAACACTTGCCTTTCAACCTTTTCTTGTAGCTAACCTAACAAGGACAAAATATCATTATAACATCTAATGATTTCAAAATTTAGAAAATCATTTAATTTTGCGCAGTGTTTGAAGCCACCCAGGATATATCCTGGATTTCCGGCGGTATATTTGGCACATAAAGAGCGGCTGACGATCATGTGGACGGTTGATATCATGCGCGAAGAGAAGGATTCCCGGCGAATGAATCTGTGGGTGTCTGGTGTTAGTCTCGATGTGGGTGACAAGTTGCTGCTGCATAGTGTCCGTCGGGTGGAAAGCTGATGCTGCCTCGCCAGATGTTGGATTTCCAGGAGCTTGTCGCAAAATATCAACACATGCGAGGATTGTCAATCGAGTCATACGATGGACAGCCGGAACTGCCTGTAGAACTGTAGAACCGATTGCAGTTCGATGCAAACTTGAATGGACGGTATACGGTCCAAGGCACTCGACTACGGTTTCAGCTTTTTGGGTGAATGTATCTTTTACAAACATATTCACATACCATCCTCAATTACACAGAAAAAACACTTCACACTTGTCGTGATTTTGTTTCAGAAGAATACAGACAAGGTGACGTATGCCATACATTTCCGGAAATACAGTTAAATTTTCACTGTATCTTCACAACATTGACGTCCACCATATATATTTGCTGAAAAAACGAAAGCTATTTTATAGATTAAGGATCATAGTTTTAGCTTTTCATTCATTAGATCAAGTCATATTTTTGAAAATTTACGAAATCAAACATATCTGCTTTATGAATAATTAAATAAATGGATTTACGTCAAATTGTCATCTCACGGCAGAACAGTTGCTTGAAGCCCTGTAATGCATTGTTTTAATGAAGGTATAAGCTTTTGAGCGCTAGTAAAATTATTATTATTATTATTATTATTATTATTGTTATTCTTTATTATAGCAGTTTAAACATTACATTGTCATTTTCTCAGTAAAAAATGATTTAAAAAAGAAAATCTCAGCAAAATAATCTGAGTCCCTTGATGAAATACTATAAAGATACAATAAATGTTGATCAATTACACCCCGGTGATCCATTTTCCCCCGGATTACGAAACTTGATTTTTTTTTAGTTGAATGCACACTTCTGCACACTCCGACATATAAAAATGTCCATCGTATTCGACCGAATTGGTAAGGTTTGTGATTTCCAGATGAAGGTTTAAAAGATTTATAAAGTACTAAACAAACTTAAATTCAGCCGTTTTGACGCTCTCGGTCCAGTACCGAATCGTCCAACCAACGGAATTGAAATTCAAGACTGCTGAACCATAATCCGAAAATCACGAAAACATAATTCTGGTATTTAGTAAAAATTTCAAAATTCTAATCTTGGAATGAAAATATGTAGAATTTTAATGGTTCTAAGGCTTGAAATAAATGTGATTTCGGATTAATATGTTTCCAAGATTATGTGACTTCAAAATTGACAAAATCCATGGCACAGCAAAACAAAAATTTACAGCTATGAAAAAGTTTTAAGATCTAGGGCTTAAATGCATCTGCATTTTCATGATTCTTGGGCATGAAATTCTGGGTTTTTTGTTATAGATTTTTGATTTAAAGAAACATACAAGATTGTGGATTTTCAAAACTATGCGCCATAAAAACAAAGTCAGTCAACAAATTATAAAATATGTACAAATTCAAAAATTCCAAAAATTTACCGAAATTCCCTGATTTATGGAACAATTCCCTGATAGTTCCAGGATTTTGCAAGCCTTTTGAAATTCCCTTATAATTCCAGGTTTTTCTAGGTAGTTGCCACCCTGCCGGGATGAGATTTGAACTCGTGAACCAAATTACCCATTCGTGCAAATGGCACCGGGAAACGTAAGACTTTACTACTGGTTTGTATAGAAAATCTACAGCATTTGTAATGTTTCACCACATGAACAGATTCTGAATGTGGATGTCGGAAGGTTTATTAAAATAATGTTGTAATGTTTATGTTCGGTAATTTGTCGGGCTAAGTTTGATTTTTCCAATTCACTGAGACTAAACAATCATCTCGTGAAGGTTATTTTCGAAAATATATTGTTTTTTCCTTGGTTTGTCTTCCGTACTGAGTACAAATGCTACCGACGCCAGAAAGGCAGCTCTCACACCTGGACCCTACCCTATCGACCCATCAAAACTCATTGACCGGGAACCAACGGCTTTACTTCCCTTCCGAAGGACGGCGTGATCAGAGCTATTATGCCTCAGAAAATCCAGACGGCACCGACTGGGATTGAACCTAGGCCTTTTGGGATGAGAGGCAATCACGCTTACCATTACACCCCTGGCACCGCTATTCTCGAAAATATATAATCTGGAACGCTACAGTCCAATATGTAAGAACTGTCATTATATTTTTATATGAAAAATGCAGAAAATGTAAGAAATGCGCGCATGGATTTGATTTTCATGCCAGTGAGTTTTGCATGTGGTGGTAGTTTACGTGGTCGAACTAAGGTTTTTGACGAATTGACGTTTGAATCTTTGTTCACAAAAACAGACTCGTCCTTTTGAAAATTCTAGTATCTATTCTAACAAATACAGCATGTATCATGATGCACCACAAGATATTTTCAAGTCTTTGGGTTGTTTGTGTTTTAAATACACTACTACTATCTCAAACAACGATATCAAAACATGAGAGAGCTCAACATGTGCTTTTCTTCTCTCATTCTCTTTTTATGCTATTTGACTCCTGCCTAGCGCGCGCAAATTCAACCATAAAGACCGAGATCATCTCCAGTGAGCCATGCGATCGCCCATGCTGCTTTTGGCTGCGTTCGTTGTTGGTTTCACTCTCTTGCTTTCTGTGTTTATCATGGCTTGGTTTATGTTAGTTGTTTTCATACATTTATAATCATTTTTATTCCATCGATGATTTTAGTTCAGCTTCGATCGTTTAGCTGTGCGGTTGCATTTCTGTTGTGTCTCCTTTCGGTTGGCTTGGAACCAACGTCGTGTGCGTGTGCGGAGCCTGGGAAGGAGCGAGAGGAAGTGTCTGGGGCCAACAAACAGATAATTCGCGATAATTCTTTGCGTGTGAACTAGTTGAGTCGAAGAATTGGCAGCCAGCGGCACGAGTCCACGTAAAAAGTGATGTTTGTTCATTACTAACGGCTGAAGAGCGGTGAACAACGGGCTTCCTTTCTGTGTGTCCAATTTACGAAAAGTATTGAATGTACGGGACCGAAGTGTAATTATTGGAGTGATGCGCGTTTCGACGGATTAGCGCTCAGTGAAATTTACACAAACAGTATAAAATTCTTCGCAGTGCCACAATCAGGAATAGATGAAATTTCTCTAAGAAAAGTGTAAGTGAAAACCAGATATACCAAGTCAGTCGATATCAACTTGTCGCTTTAAATGGGCGAGAAGACGCGTCTGCAAAAGAAAGCAAAATGTTGTGGAGTACTTGACAAACGCACATCCGTATGTTATCTGTTACGATTTTACTCTTACTTTTGCTCGGTCCATATGTGAGACATCTTGCCAATACTAGATACTGCGCGTGCCACGATCAAGAAGTGACCGTTGCGTTTATTTTTGCAGCCTGTGCTGCACTTACTTCACTGCAGGGGAAAAAGTCGCACAAGCCCTCACTCTCGCTTGGCTATTACAATTTTCCTTATAGGTACGGCTTAACTGTTCCTATGTTCGGTCTCCGGTATGTTAGTGAAATACTTGCAACATATGAGCTCCTTTTTGGATTTTCTGTAAGTAGGAGACTTGGGATGTATGTCAGTATAACAACCAAAACGGAAACTTAGTAACTTTTGGATATACCGAATATGTGCACCTTCAAAAAGGCCGAAACAGGAGACATCTACCCTACTAATGCATCAGTTGACCAAAACTTTCAAGCAAGAATAACGAGAAAATCTCTGCTTCTTTGTGCTTCTGGTTTAGATCCGTGGATGGGTGCATCTCAGTAGAAGTAACAGAAAAGGTTGTTGTTGCCTGTTGTAGATGTGGTTAAGGAAGGCATCGTTGAGTTGAACCGAAAGAGAAATGTCATTCAAACAGCAGAAGAATGATTTTCTATTTTTCACTATCAAAGTTAGCGGGCGGATAATGCCTGTTGCTTTAAAATCTATCATCATGCTCATTATGTTGGTGATTTTATTGTAGCGTTTATGTATTTCTGATCACTAGCCTTTTTGCTTGTGCAGTGGATTCCTTGTGAAATAACTCTGCAATTTTCAGTGCTCTGAGACATACAAATGTTCGCGATCGTCATTTGTGAATCAAACTTGATTATAAAAGACATTACATTCAGCCCGGTGCATTGCAATGGCATAGGGGAACATGGGATCAAATACACCCCCAAGGAAAAATGACCTTTTTGCCATTTTAAATACATTTGCAAAACATTTATTTTTTTTAATTTATCTAGCAGCTTTGCTAGTTGAGACATTAAACTAGCAATGCTGATTCACATTTATTCAAAAAAGAACCTCCATATTCCATAATCAGTACCAGATTTCGTATGGAAATTAATTTGCCTGTTTTGGGACACATAAAAGTAAATTTATTGACGCCTTATTATTTAGGCGTTACATGCAAAAAAAATTACACTTTACGTGTAAAACATAATATTTCCTAGTGTAACCTGGCATTTTAGAACATTATCAAATTAGCGATTTTAAGTTGTTGAGCCATGTTTATATGAATGGGGTGGCACTAGATAAATTAATGTCCTAGCACAATATAGGGTAGAGCGCTACTTCGCCGTAATCGCCCATTTCCGTTCTATCGATCACAAAAGATCAATAATATCAATGGTTTCACTGTGCACAAACCAATGATAAGTTTATTCCGATGCGTTAGTTTATTAGCTACAACATAAATCCTGTTAGAGCGCATTGTACGAATATTTACGCTCATTGTTCTCAAAACAAAAGAAGCGCTCCTAGCGAATCCCCTTTTTTACGTTTATCCGTAGGACGAAGAAAATCTAATGGCGTTTCAATGCATTAGGACGGAATTGAAAATCGTAGAACGAATTTAGAATCAAGAAGCAGTATTAGATTTTAAACAATATCTCAACAATTTGTGACTATTTATGAAATCCAATGGTACGTATGGAAAGGTGAATAAATTTAGAAGTCATCTTTGACATAAGTATTCCATTTTTTGTTCAAACCCGTTGAAAAAAGGGGGGTAAAGCGCGGGTTGTGCTTAGTAGGACGGAAATTAGATCAAAAACCCTATGGAAACAGACAGAACAGCAACAACAGGACGGAGATTACACAAACAGGATGTGGTAGCTTAAAATGCTTCCTTGGACAACAACATATGAAGGTGTTCCCAGGAATATGCAGTGAGCGAAATTCCTATGAGCGCATGGCTGTTTTTTCAAAGTAATTTCATGAATACTGCATAAGAATCCAACATATCGATATTGTTGTTTTACATGGCTTAAGCGCAGTAGGATTTCATTACTATTTACTTTCCCACACCTTGTTTAACTCTCATTACGAGGTTTAATCATTATCACGAGGCTATATGTGTGTGCTTGGGAACGATAATTTGTTTGATAAAACCTTGAATGTTGAACCCTTAAAATACATAAGAAAATTGTGGCATTAAGGAGAAAAAAAAAAATTCAGATCAATATTTTTAGTGGGCATTCTTCTGGATGGATGTGGATGCATTCTTCTTTGATAAAATGATCGTTTGAATTTAAATGTTGGACATCTTAGTTTCATGATGTGGGTTCTTATTTCGTATAAATATGAACGTCAATAGCAAAATCTAAATGATCTCTGAATTCTTTTAAGAACTTCTGGACGATGTTTTCAAGCCATTTACAGAGGACATTTTCAACCTCTATCAAAATAATGCCACAATTCATGTGAGAAAGGAGTCAAAAACATTATTTTTATTGCAAATATCCAGCTTTTGAACTGGTCAGCATGTAACACCGCTTTGAATTCCATTTTAAATTGTTGTAGGATCCTGAAAAGATGGGTATACAGTGATAGACAGCTGTTTGGTGAACTACAAGTTCCTAAAGCGGATGGATAGAGAAGATTACTCTAAAAATGTTCAAAAATCAAGATTTAGCGTAACAATTCTGAAAAGTGAGACACAAATCAAATGCTAATTTAAGTAGTCCTTTAGCTTATACTAACTAGTTCGTTTATATGAAACATAAGCCTCGATGATAATAATTTACATCTAAAAAAGATTGTTTTAAAACTATTTTAAGTAAAAGTTAATAAACATAGTGCATTTTCAGCCCAAATCGCTTAAAAAATTATCGACTCTCTCCGATTTAAATTAAACTTCGCTTAAGGTACACCGCGGTAAGCTGAAACGGGCTTTCAAAGTTAAACTTTAAAGCTCTCTGGAAAAATCATAAAGCAACATAAACCGAATGTTTTTTCCAAAAGTTTCATAAAAGCGTCCTCTATCATGAAAAAAAAACAATAAATTATAGATTAGATAAAAAACATTGTGAGGCGACAAATATGGTGCATGTTGTTTTATCTTGCCCCATACAGTGGGGTAAGTTTTAAAAGATATATTATATTGGTTTTATGATGAAAATTCTCATCTATTTTCTCCTAAAACAAGTAGATGCATGCATAAAATGATCGTTTGTCTGTTTGAAGTGCGAGTAGTTAGGATTTTCGCGATACGCTTGCAAAAATTTGGTGCAACGCTCATCTTGCTTAGACGCTATTTTGATAACTGAAGAGAAAATTTCAAAATCGAAATAGAAGCACACACCTAAAAATGAAGGGTGTTCAGGTTTTTTCAATGCTCGATTAAAAGAAATGCGTCAAGTTTAAGTCAACCAAATTTTAATCGTAACACCCTTTATTTATGTATTGTCGTAAATTGCAACAATAAGAAAGTATTAAAATACATCGAACAGAGTCTCTAAACAATACATTTTTAATGTAAAACAGCTTATGCAGGCAAATATTAGTGTATATAGTTAAAACCAAGCTTAATGTGCTTTTAAACAGCTAAAAAAAACCTGAGGATTTAGTTTTATGGTAAAAATAATATTTCCTATACCAAAGATAACTCGATCTCCATTTTTTGTGGTAAAAATAATAGTTTTAATTTTTCAATACTTTAGTTTTTTTAGAGGCACCCAGCGCTGTTTTTGGTTATCCTTCAACATATTGAACTAATTTCTAGTACTGAGAATGGGATATCCACCATTACAACTTGCCCCCTTGTACTCATTTTGATTTGCCTCATAGGGTGTAAAAATGTGGGCAAGTTGATAATCTTGAGATGTTGAGGAAATTTTTTGTAACTTCATTTGTAACCGGGGTTTTTTTTTTCTATATCATCACCCCAACTAGTCTCCATTCCCAGACAACCAGAATGCACGTCAATCTCTGGTCACGTCTTCCTTCGGAAGGGAAGTAAAGCCGTTGGTCCCGGCCCATGTATGTGTTGAATGGGTGCGATATCCTACGCAGGTGTGGAAGCTGCCTTCCTGTACATTCGATTGCCGTCAATGGATGGCAATCGATGTCCGTCGGTGATTGGCACTAGATTGCGGAACAGAGACCGACGTTAAATAAAGGAAAAAGAAAAATGATGGAAAAAAAATCTATTTTCCTTATGATTTTGACTCATTTGCACCTGATAGTGTGCATATAATAGTGGAACCCACTATTATAGGAACGAAAGTTAGCAACTACCATTACTACTAGAACAGTGTTCCTATTGATGGAGGACAAGTTTTCGAAAAATGTTTACAATTTAATTACGATATAGTATTGTTCCAGCAAAATACAGATTGAAAGATATAGTTTAACGTATAAAAATTGTACGTGCAACGTTTATTGAATTTTTAATAAATAAATTGCCTTAGCTCCTCCACTACTGGCTGATTCACCCTAATGCGTAAAAAATGTTTGTTATATATTTCATATAAAATTAAAATAAACAAAGCTAATGAGCACGCTAGTTTGTTTGTAACTACCTGATTTGACAGTCATAGAATGCGTTTAAGATTATATTATATTGTAAAAATAATGACAGTGAAAACTCACTTCCATATAGTTAAGGCTTCCGTTTCAACTTACCCCGTATTTTAACTTGCCCCTGTGTACCTTATATGTTTATTACAACTTTTCAATATTATAAAGTCTGCTATCTGATTGTATTGTATTATATTGCATTGTACTGTATTGTATTGTACTGTATGGATTGTATTGTACTGTATTGTATTGTATGTATTGGTAACTACAATGTCAACATTGTCACGGTGTAAAACAAAAAACAAATCAGTACCGTTGATACAATAAGAAGCTTAGGCTCGCCTTTTTCATATGAGGAT